CGTAATATTAGTTGACTAGACATTGTTATAATACAGAATGCTGTATATAAAAAGTTTTTATTAAAATTAATATGTTTTAATATTATTTACAGGAAGATGCAAATCAAATACCGGGTTGGATAAGACATTCTGAAAAAGACAAATGCAGGAATCAATTTCACTATCATAGGCGGCCAGTAACAAGAGTATGTTTATGGCATTGTTTTAAAGTATACATGATAAAATTTAAAGCATTTTCTATAATGTGCATTTTCCTTTCAGAATTCAAATATATTATCTGCTGTATTATGTTTGGTTAAAGAGTTGGATTATCCAAGTCTGGAAGTGGTAGAAATGGCTGTTAGAAATCGAATGGATGAATTAGAAGAATGATGTTTCTGACACCGTCCCCAAAATCAAGGGACGGTCGCTTTCTCTCATATCGGCAGCATATCTTCTGTTCCCAGTCCAGAATTCTCCGATTCACTTGATTCCACGATAACTTTGAGCCAACATGCCGATAAAGATGGGAATTACAACGATGACGAACACCATATACTTGATCATCAATTACTTGAAGAAAATAATGATAAATGTCAAATTCGACGAAATGAATGTGCCGAAAAAGTTTGCTCAACACATAGCCTGAAAACAGTATCGATTGATCCAAGTCCAAGATTACTCGGAAATAATCAATCCATATGTAAAATACAAAATTCCGTATTGGACAATTCACCATCAAGAAATTATTATGAGAGAAAAAGTAATGATGTAAGACGCGTAGCGAGCAGTGACAGTATTCCTCGTGGTAGTTACAACAATGTCATTTTGAGTCAGGGATGTAGAGTTTTAAGCCAAGATTGTGTCAGAAGATCAAAAAGTCCTGATGTTAGGAATACAGTTACACCACTTCGTTATATTCAATCGGCAAAAGGAACGTGGACGTATAATTTGTAACTTGTATACTTAACAATTTGACAAAATTATTCTTAAAATAATAATCTAAATGTTCTGTAAACGCAATCAGAAATAATCTTGTCGATAAAAACGAAAAAGAAATGGAAAAAGTTCCATTAGTAACAGAGATAATACTTTAAGATTAAAGATTGGTCTTATCATGTTATTTCGGGAGAAAAGTGCATATAAAATTTGCAAACATTTGTGATATATTTCAAGGACTGAAGAAACAAGTGTAATTTATCATTATGTATTGTGTACAAACAAATCTGACGATTGATATATGAGTAACTTTATTTAACAACCGTTAAGTTTTTCCAAAGTTTTATTGAGATAAATTTGTTAAATATATATTATAAATATCTGTAACATGTATAAGATAAAATCAAAGATAAATTATATGCTCTATTAAATATTTTTTCAATAAACAATTTGGAGTTTTTATATAGTGAAAAAAATTATTTGGATCAATGATAAGTTCGTTTAAAGATCGATATTTAAAAATAATTTTTACGATAAGTAGAATATGAATAAAAAATGAATGTATATATGTAGAAGGTGATTTTGTACACAGATAGTATTCTATAAAAACTTAAATGTACATTATTTGCATATAATCTCATAATTTATAATCAAAATATCATCTGCATATATCAGTGCGCTTATAAATGTACATACAAAAGCGAAAAATTGTATTTCTAAGTATTATTTTCTTGCATTATTTGTTTTTACTTTATTATTTGATTGCGGAGATGTACATTAATTTTTTCAACAATATTACAAAGAAGAAATTTTATTATACATATACATAATTATATATACAATTAACATATATACATAATTATATATATATATGTATATATATGTATGTACACATATACATATATATATATATATATAGCTTATACATTATAAAATTGTACTTAAAACAATAGAATAATAAGCAAAATAATTATAAGAATGTATATTATATATGTAGATTAACTTTAGGCTGACGTACAAGGACATATTTTTTGAAACAAGTCCTTACATCATCTGCTAATAGATAAAAAAAGCAGAAAGAGAGAAAATAAGAAATTACATTTCTTCTGCAAACAGTACCGTTCCATCAATTAAGCCAATAACTGATGCTAATTAGACTTAAGATATTTTATAATAATGTAAAACATAATGTCTTTTGTTATCTAGGACCGTCCACTTATATTATTCTATAATTTATTAAATAATATTAATTTAATGTATACAAATAATTATATATTTGATATTGTTTAAACATTTATGTAAAGAAAAATTTTAATCCTTGAATTATGACCAGTGTTGTAAACTTGTGTTATTGAATATTATGTACAAATTGATTTTGAAATTAATATCCTTGTTAATATTCTCTATACACATTAATCAAACATTTTATTAACTTGTTTAAAAAGTCGAGAGAATTACATAATTATTATTGATATCTAATCATTTTGTGTTAATTTAATTTCCTGTTTCTTTTCCTCTCTAAGAAAACATCTTCCCCAGATAGCAATGTGTTTTGTTGCTTGCTAAGTATGTGTTGCTACCAGAATTGCAACAATTGAGTCCTTATTTGTTGGCAACTATTATGCATTCACATATAACAACTTTGAGTTATTACTAGCAATTTGTCAGCAATTCAAAATTCATCATTAAAATTTATGCTATTGCTGTTATGTTGTTATAATAATATGCGATATCATCTCACAATGCTGTCATATTGCCGATAACGCAAGGTAATATACATATTGGGCGCCTTCAGCGGACTCAATAGTTGAATGCGCTGCTATTAATGTATTCTTCTAAATCTAAAATTCTGATTGGATGAGCTAAAAGAATACATCAATAACAGTGAACGCTCAACTGTTGAATCCACTGAATGCACTCTTGTTATCTGCATATTGCTGTTTTGTTGCTATTTGCTATACTGTTGATATATTCATGATGAAAATATATAAGGTGAAGTACTCCCATGGATGCGCAGTAGGAAAGTGCATATCGGACATATTTGATTGGCTATTTCCAATATTGCTACCGCCATTATGCGTAATGTTTTACCTTATATATTTTCACCACGAATATATTGAATATATTCGAAATCATTGAAAAAAGCAAATTTATTAGCAAGTTGCCAGTATCATAAGCTATTAGCAATCACAAATTTGTGCAATTTTGCTGAGATACGCTTTGCTATCTGGATTATTTCTATTGAATTATTTCTATTTCATCAAAATAATTAATAACTTGTAAATAGATTAATAATTACGCGCAACTTTCTCACGAGAACGAGATTGTCTATATAAAAATATAAATGTATATACTCTAATGAATATTTCCCGACGATTATCCGTATCATAAATTTCATCATTTTATCATATCTTATTGCAAATAAACAGAGATCGTTAGGAAAGTTTCGATGAATGAATACAACGCCACACCACGCCACACAAATCGCTCAGTGAACGCATTGTTTTCTCTATTTTCAGTCTGTGTTTAACAATAAAAAATGGTGAAAAATTGTTGTGTTAAAGGATGTAGCGCATCGTGGCGACCAGATATTGATGTATCATTTTTTAGGTAGATTATCATTGTATATAAACTTATATAACCTCAAATCTAATTTTCAAACGTAACTTTCAATTTTGTTTCCTATATTTTTTTAGTTTCCCATTGAAAAATAAGGATTTGTTAAAGGAGTGGTTGGAAATTGTGCCAATAAGTAGTAATATTTCAAAATATTCTCAAATATGCAGCGTTCATTTTGACGAATCACAGTACGAATGTTTTTCTGGTAGACGGTTCTTAAAGAAGAATGCAGTTCCTAGTATATTTCCGGAGGATATAGCCAAATTTGTAAGTAATTTAAAGTAATTTAACTTTTTTATTTTACAAGTACATGTAAATGTGTAAGTTTTTGTTATTTTATAGAAAGAAATAGTTGAAGAAGTGGAAAAATTATATCCAAAATATCAAAATGTCGTGTTGGAAAGTATAAATAACAATAATTTTCATGATCATTCTTATTCGAAAATGCAAGAGACATTTCTTGTGTCATCAGTATTAAATGAAACAGACAAAGCAATACAGGTCACTCCTCGAACTCAGGTTTGTAAATTTTCATTCTAAAAGAAATTTTTTTATATTTTATATCTATTGTGTATTTTTTCATATTATCAGAGCGTAAGTACACAAACATCATCAAGAGCAACTGAAAAAGAAAAAGAATTACGATATCGAATTAAGAGTCTTCAATCCAAACTGCGTCGCAAAGAACTGAAGGAACTGAAGAATATGAGGATACCGATTAAATATTCGCCGATTGTTAAAACATATAAAAAAAAATTGTGAATGCTTGGATCATTTGTGTACTAAAAGTTTTAAATGATTATTTGATTTTTGATTTGCTAGAATAAAAACATTATATAATTCTCTCAATGTTTTATATTGCTGATATTAAAAAAAAATGTATAGAGCTGTTAGTCAAGCATAGACTTCTTTTCCTTTCTTATTAATTTTTATATCAGCATTACTCATAACTTTATGAACAAGCCTAACGTCAGTTATAGTTAACTACCATTTGACTATCAAGTTGATTTTGGTATTGAATTTAATAAGTTTAGTATAGATATATTTTATTTGTTTCAATACTTAATTATTTTTTATGACTTTACATAATGTATATGTTGTTTCTTTAATATTTCAATTGTTTAATAAAATTTGTTTCAAAATCAGATAAATAAAACTCACCTGTAAATAAAATAATAATATCTGTTTGCATGTCAACCAAATATAAATGATATGGCAAAGTGTTAAAAAAGAATATATAATTTTAGAAAAATATCTTTTTTGTGTGTATTTTCTGTCCTATAATTATACATTTAAAATATGTAATATAATAATAATAAAAGGATAAGCAATATAAATTTTAAATATATAATTATGATTTTTTTAATTGATTGATTTATTATTAAATATTAGTTTTCCTTCTTCAAAAAAGACAAAATTTTTTTTTATTACAATAAGAAAAAAAGAAAAAATTATCACTTGAGGTTACTCTGTCAAATCACGAGTGATCACGAGTTGAAGTAATCTGTAATTATATGTCTTGCATTGTCATATGGATTCACTCGGCATTGTGTGCTTGTGAAAATGAACGTAAAAATATGAGTAATCAGAATAATTGATACGTTGTCACTTTATGAGAAAATGCTTTGCCTGAATGATTAATGTCTTGACTTATGCTTAATTTAATATTATGTAATGATTGTTTGTATCTTATTAGTTCATTTTCTAACCTCAACAAGTGTGATGCTCGTTTTACGTGGACTCCAGAATTCGAATTCCCTCGTCGTGTTGGGTGGCCTCGCTTTGTGTCTTTTATTTATGATTCAAATCAAACAAATTTATAATAACAATCAAAAATATAATAGATATCTGAACTATAAACAATATGTGAGATTTCCTTGTATTTATAGAAATATTAACAATCAATGTGTAGTTAATGTTTTTATTTATTCTGTAATTTATTTGAAGGTAAGACATTTAATCATACATTTTTAGATGAACGAAATAGCGACAGAACTGAGGACAGTAGTAAAATCTATCAACAAATCATCGGCTTACGTTCATCAACTAAATGAAATGCTTATCAAGTATCGCGAAAGAGAACCAAAGAATACCTCAACGTCAAGAGCAACTTTATCATCTTAAACACTTTAGGAATTAAAATTTCTAAATGCAGAAGGTTGGTAAATTATAATTGAATTGTAAAAGCCTCTGGTTTTATATTGTATCATTAAAGTTTTTTATTTTTCTCTTTCTCATATTTTATAAATGAGTATTGCATATTGTTATTTATATATATTAAACTGAGTATTAAATTATAATACTTATTCTTATTATTCATCAGATATAATAAATGTTAAAAATTCTCTATTAATATTTATATTCAATACTTATTATTACAAAAATACATATTAAAATATAAAATTATAAAAAAGAAAACGCTGTATGTATATATATAATATATATAT